GGTTGTCGATAGTCAGGGGCCCCTCTCTCTCCCCTTCTCTCTCTCTCTCTTTCTCTCTCTCTCTCCTTCTCTCTCTCTCTCTCTCTCCTTCTCTCTCTCCTTCTCTCTCTCTCCTTCTCTTTCTCTCTCCTTCTCTCTCCTTCTCTCTTTCCTTCTCTCTCTCTCGCTTTCTCTCTCTCGCTTTCTCTCTCTCTCCCTTTCTCTCTCTTTCCTCCTCCTCCTTCTCCTATTCTTCATCTCCCATACTTCTTTTAGCTCTTCTTTCCTTTCATCTTCTTTCTCCTCACGCCCCCCAAGTCTTTCTCTCTTTATTCCCAATCTCTATATTCTTTTCTTTATTATTCCCTCCTATGCCCCCACCTCTCTCTCTCTCTCTCTCTCTCTCTCTCTCTCTCTCTCTCTCTCTCTCTCTCTCTCTCTCTCTCTCTCTCTCTGCTAAGATAATGATTAGCACCATAAGCTATCAAAGTCCGAATATGATGCGATACCCATACCATGATGTAAAGGTCGTATACTCAAGATTCTGTCACAAATGTACCCCCATGTGTGGTGGATTGCGAAATCCGCCTTCATCGCCATCATCCCCTACACCACCACCACCACTACAACCTCCACCGTCACCATCACCACCTCCACCATCAACACCATCACCACCACAACCATCACCACCACCACCACCACTGCCACCACCAACACACCAATACCACCACTAGCGGTGCCAACATCAACTCGAGACAAACTCGTTAAGAAAACCCAAAATAAAATAAGCCAAGAGGGCCCACGAAAAAAAAAAAACCCCTTAAATTTACAAGCCCAAAAAGAAAAAAAAAGTGAAACCAAGGGAAAAAAGAACCGCAAGAAAAGTCTTCGAAGCCACACCCTTGACAGTCCCAGGAGGCGCTGGATGGTCTTGAGGCAGAGGTAGGGCTGGGGCTGGGGGCGTGGTTGGGGGGTGGGGTTAGGCGGGGGTCTATATTGACAAGAAAGTCAAGTAACGTTGGACTGGTGACAGCTTGGGAGGGGCTGGGGATTGTGATATATTCACATGTGTATTCATGAGCATGGCACACCAAGATGAAAGAAAAAACAACAACCCCAAAGTGAATAATTTAAGGAGGCTATTTAGATACCACTAAACAGCATACAATAATCCAACATATTATTTGTTCTGTGTTAAGTCAAAATTACAATGTACTTTAACGGTGAACTTTGGTACTGGTATCTCTTTTCCAGCATAACATCTTCCCTTATTGTTCCTTGCAAAGGTCTCAGTATTTCGCCGTAGAGCTCAGTGGCGCCAAGTCTAAATTTTTGTACCTTAAATTTTTTAAAAGAACAAACACTGTCTTCGGCTCATAAGAAAACACATCGGCTCGGTTTGATTATCAATAGATCAGACTTTAAGATTTTAGACAAAGCGCAATGCATAATTTTTATACGACATTCCATTCAGTTTGGCTTGCAGGTTCCGATAACCGGCATGACAGAATCAGTCTAGGCCTGTCTGCCCATCGGTCCGTACGGTGGACTAACTGCGTTTACCCACTATACGGGAGTTTAGGCTGGAAAAATCTGTATGCACGTCAATCTGGTTAGCTTATCCTATACGGATTTTCGCCTGTAAAGTTATCGTACCTCTGGGAGTCCGATAGCCGGCCTAAACACGTGTAAATATGGCTGTACTTTTGTTTTTCCAAGCACGACAGCGGCGTCTTCTACGAAGAAACAGGATTTTCAGGGACCGTACTAATCTCTTCGACACGTAAGACGACAAAGAAGTGTTTCGCAATTAAGTTAACCGGTTCTGACGTGCATACAGGCCCTGGTCTGCCCATCAGCAAAATCAGACCACCGAAAACACCCAATAATCCCAAACGAACAGATACTGCTCGATATAACAGTCTTTCCTAGGCTATCTTTTCTCCTTTGTTCACGACAGACATTATTTCATTACCCTGGACCACCCCTCTTCTTTATAGTCCCCAATCTTTTCACAGCCCAGTCCCCTCTAATATTACACCAGAAAATAATGATTAAAAGTAAAATTTAATTCGCCCCACCACATGCAGAAATCTAAAATCCCAGAACATTATTGAGATGATGGAGATCTCTGTCTCTTCGGGGGGGGTTAGGAGTTGGCTGCTGCTCTGGCGTGGTTTGCTCCTTTTCTCCTATCAAACATCTGTTGTCGTTAACTCTGTCCCTTTTTTTCTTTGCTACTCTCTAATCTTTGGAACTTATATGACCTATTTGTGTTGCAAGTACCATAATTTTTTTTATCTTACTCAAACAAAAAACAACAAACAAACAAACTCTAAAAAACAATAACCCCAAACACGTAAACAAACGAACAAATAAGAAAAACAAACTGTCTTTTCAGGTGAGGCAACGATCGAGCGCTCTCGCTTCATCAAACTGCCCGTGTGTGGAGGGGAAGAATGCCCAGAGACCAATACACAGGAAACCAAGACTTGTGAGAAATACGTCAACGAGGACTGTAAGGTACTGTGTATGGTCAAAGATCGTACATAACTAGATAGTTCACTCCTCTCTTTGAGCCAATTAAAAAAAGTATCCTCAAAATCTAGTGGTGCCTTCTTCGAAAAAGCCCGGACTTTGCGAACAGAGTAACCCTACTTGTGTGAAAAACAATAAAAGCGAAGTAACAAGTTGTGCTATTCCTATTTTTCTTGTGGCGAAACGAAAGAGAGCTTCAAACAAAGACTGCAGCGTCATCTCAACCAATGCGCGACTTCCGCGGACACCTTTTTTGGCTGAATGAACTAGCCTATCTTGTTATGTACGATCTTGAGTATGATGGCGTCGGTTGTTTAGTGGTTAGGCCTCGGACTCTTAATCGTGAATTTGCGGGTTCGGGTGTTCGAGCCTTAGTTTCGACGTAGTGTCCTTGGGGAAGGCACTTGACACGAGTTTCCCTCACTTTACCCAGGTGGGAATGGGTACCCGGCCATAGATTGCAAAAGATTTTGTCAGTATATTAGCGCTTGTAAAATGGCAGCTTGTTCTGTATGCTTTCCGGGAAGTTGAGATTGTACCGGAATGCAATTAAGTCTTCAGATGTAATAATATAGATTGTAAAGCGCACAGAGTGAGATTGCTGTTGAGTGGGAATCTGGACTATACAAATGCCATTTATTATTATTAAATAGATTTGCCCTTTCTCGCACTCAACTTGAATTTTGCGATTTTTGCGATCTTAGAAAAATCCACGAATTCATAAGTCATTAGCGAAATGTTAATTGTATTGTCTATGGTATTGTCTGATACGAGTTTTACTTTCATTACTCTCATAGACATTCAGGCAAGACCTACTACGTTAGTCAAATTAAGTTAGTGACCATAACTCAGACATTGTCCATAACGACCACCTGTTTATGATGGTTGGTTTTCTCTCTGATTTTATATGGTCGTTAAGGTCAGATTTAACGTCTGTAAACAGAAACGGGGATCAATAAAGGTACATTTTTATTTATTTACTTGTTTGTATCATGATTTCATGATTTCATTATTCATTTATTTATTCATTTATGTATTTATTTATCAAAAATGGTTGATTCACCAGATGGGTCCTTGGGGCGAGTGGACGACTTGTGAACTTGCAAACGGCCAGTGTGGGGAAGGAACAAAGCAGAGAGAAAGGGTGGTCCTGATCGATCAAAAGTGTAAGGGAGCCCCTTGCCAGAATCTGACAGGTACTGTGGACGCCACGTAATTCTTGTTTGTTTATTTGTTTGTATGTTTGTTTGTTTGTATGTATGTATGTATGTATGTATGTATGTATTAATATGTTTGTTTGTTTATTTGTTTGTATGTTTATTTGTTTGTTTATTTGTTTTATTCGTTTGTTTCTTTTTGTTTCTGTCAGTCTGTTTATCTGTCTGTCTGTCTGATCTCTTTGTCTTTTTCTGTCTGTCTGTCTTTTCCTGTCTGTCTGTCTGTCTGTCTGTCTGTCTGTCTGTCTGTCTTCCCTTCTTTCTATCTTTTCTTCTGTTTTCGTTTCCCTCTTACTGACTCCCTCCCCTCCAGTGTTCTCCATTCATCTCTCAACTA